GCTCGCGGTTGTTGAAGTGGAATCGCAGCCGTGAAGAAGTTCGTACTGGAGGGAATTTCGAAGCATTATACCCTATGGGACTTCGACGGGGAATGAAAAAATCTTCGTTGGGGCGAAAATTTCGTTCAAGTGGACTTGCTTATGGCGGGATTCGACTGTATACGTCTTTGCGGGTTATCTTGTTCAAGGCACGGTAGTCAACGCACAATCTTCAGCTGCCATCTTTCTTTTTGACTAAAACAACAGGTGATGGCCATGGACTTGAAGAGGCCTCTACGACACTTTTGGAGAGCATCTTCCCGACTTCTCATTGTATGACCTGGCATTCGGACTGGGAAACATGATATGATCGCCGTCTAACAGAACTAGCATCGCCGGTATGTATTTGATGACGCAAGAAGGACGTTTGAGCTAAAGGGCCGTTATCGAAGTCGAAAATGTCTCAGTAGGTGGTCAGAACATATTGGAATTGCGCAGCCTGACAGGGCAGGAGATCAGGGGCCGTCATCATTGTGATTTCGTCAATAGGTGCATTTGCTCGGCCGGCCGCAATAGGGGACGAGCAGTGTTCAGGGTCTAATGCTACGATGGTACATGCATCAAGTGGGGAAACGTGGGCTAACGAAATGTCTTGCGGGAGAACTTGGGTCCGACTACTGAAGTTGAGAAGCGGAAGCTGAACGTTGTTGTTTAGGATTGTCACGATGGTCTGCGGCACAGCAACACTTCGGGCCAAGAGCACACCCCACTAACGGAGACACTATGTAGTCACCATCAGGAAGAGCTGGTGATATCGTTAAGGTCACACACGTGGTGGCTTGGGGTGACAGCAGAACATAATCAACAGCGCACAAGTGGTGTGACGGTGAGGACGGCACAACCCTAAGTTGAGGCAGTTCAAGTTGGAGAACGTCGGTTGCACAGTCAATGAGAACGGCATGAGTGGACAAGAAATCCAATCCAAGAATCGGAACATTCGGGCACTGTTCAATAACTGCATAGAGAACAAATGTGAGTTGATCGGCGATTGTGATGCTTGCTGTGCACATTCCTGTGATGGCAAGAATTCTTCCGCTGGTGACACGAATAATGCCAGCAGCAGCCGGTGTGAGCATTTTTTTCAGGCAACGACGAAGTCGGGCACTCATCACAGAAATATGCGCCTCGGTGTCAATAAGTGCAGAAACAGTCAGGCCGTCACCGTCGATTTCGATCAAATTTCGTCGTGTCGGCAATACAAGGAAAGATTTGAGGTCAGTATCGAGGATGCAGCTTAACCTCTAAGAGCTGCACTGCTTAGTTTCCCTGATTAGAATTGAGCGGGGAGGTCGGGCGTCGTCTTAGAGAAGAAAGGGACGACGGGCGACATGGAGGCAACGAACAAGACTAGTGACGTCGAGGCAACAGTGAGCGGCTATGCTGCGTATCAGGAACATCAAAGTTGTAGGAATCGAAATTTGGAAGGCGGCGGTAGTTGTCGGCGATTAGCGCAGGAGGCTGGAAACGGTGGTAGCTGTCGGCGCGGCAAGCAGTACTATACTGGGTTCGGGACAAAGACCAATGGTTGTTGCAATACCGTGCAACGTGACCTGTGCAGCGGCAGTTAAAGCAGATCGGCTGATCATCTGCAGTTCGCCATTCAGCCGAATGGCAAGAGCGTGGATAAGACCGTTTCTAGGGCGGTGACCTGGGGTGAGGCGGCGACCTTGAACGGAAGCCTATTGGTCGAGGCTGAGAGACGGCATAAACATTGAAGCCCAAATTGCTGAGTTCTTCCCGCACAATCGACTGCACCAAGAAAACCTGAGCTACTTGCAAATTGACGTGGCTGTTGGTGCGAAGAGCAGGTGTAATTGCTTCGATTTCCCGCCGGACAATTCGCGTAATTTCAGACGCCGAAGAAGACTGCGGACGAGAGGTCTGTCGAGCTTCGTAGGGGGACGTTGCAGCGGTGTTCGGTAGTCGAGTGAATGATCTTCAAATACGCCTGCTTTTGGCCAGTTCAAAACGCCGGCATTCCTCAATAATTTTGTCGACGATCGCACAGTTCCGGCACATAACCAGGTTGAACACGTCATCCGCTATTCCCTTGAGCACGTGGCCAACCTTATTAAACTCCCACTTGTCATTGTCGACTTTATGACATAGAGCCAGCACGTCTTGCCTGTACGAGATATACGGCTCTCTAGATGTCTGAGCACGTATAGACAACTCTTTCTTTGCAACCGCCTTTTGTCCAATGGGCTTCGCAAGTAAGCCGCGGAGCTTCTCCTTGAAGGTGTCCGAACTGCCGATCTCCTCCTCATGGTTCTCGTCCCAGACTTTGGCCGTGGCTTTCTGGTAAAACAGCACGTTGGCCAGTATGAGAGACTGATCATACCAGTTGATCGCACTGGTACGTTCATAGTCGGCTATCCAGTCATCGACATCAACTGGGTTCGTACTGCAGAACATTCCTGGATGTTTCGGATAAGTCAGCATGTACGTGGGTAGGGGTGGGGCCGGTGGAGGCAATGCCGTGGATAGTGCAGGCGTTGCAAAGGCCGATGGAGAGGTGACCGTGGGATCAGTCCCGTGTTCCATCACGGAAACTCCGACTTGACGATCATTGCGGAGCTCTGTTGTATGGCCCTTCGTTACCCAGCGAGTCCACCAATTTGTTACGGAGATTACAAACACGAGGAAGAGAGAAACAAGTGTATTTTCAATATTTACAAGTAGGTGTGACACCCCACGGCTGCCAGCATCTCGCGCTACAAGTCCGCTTCTTCTTCATCGATTTGTCTATGTTGGCAGAGCCATGCCCACTGCCTCGTAACAATATATATTGTCTATTGCACTGGATGCGAGGTGGCGTAATTGTTTCTAAAGAACCGAGTGGCGGCACGTTCCTCCATTGTGTTGCTTGTAAACTTTTACTGCAGTTTTTAAAATGCATGCCATTGGATTAAGTGTAGGAGTCTTTCGTGCTGCTCCGAAACTTTTTTGCGTGCCTAATGGAAGCTCTTGCCCAAAAGGAAGTGCAGCACCGAGGGAAACAATCATCTTATCACAGAAACTTACTTCATCTGTTTTCTTGTGACAAGCATTTTGTATTTAAAGGAGCACTGACATAAATTTCAAGATTGAGTTGTGCCCATCATTCGATCACTTGGTATGCATAGGTCTTTTTGGACAAATTTAAATGGCATCCGTCAGCGACGTCAAACAGCATAGAAAAGCTAAGGAGAAAAAACGAAAAATAGACTGCCCTGCGACATCGACACTAATGCTACGTGTTCAATGTGATACATTCCACAAATACCATCCTGAGTGACTATACTCTAGTAATTATGACGTCGACAATCCCCGAGTGTGTTTGGTGCCAACTCCCAGCCATGCTCTCACTAGTGGCTCTCCTTGCTGTGTTGAAGCGTGCGTGCGGTTCATGTCGCGTCGACTGATTCGCCTTGTGCTCCACTGCGTGTGAGAATGATCATTCAGAGCGACAATACATGCCAGAATGTTGGGGAATCGCTGTGTAGCGAAAACCTGCACGTCGAAGCGCAAAGAAAGCGGAAAGTGCGTGGGGTTTCATTCCAAGCCACGAACCTCAACGCAGTGGCTTGACTTCGCACGCACCCTTAGACAGAGGGACTGGACGCCTGTGAAGAGCAGCTGCGTTTGCTCCTTTTACTTTGCAGCGAGCGGCTACAGGGTAAATCCTGTGTTGGCAAACCAGTTGGGTTTGACTGGCAGTACGAGGCCTTTTCTCGAGGTCGGGGCTATTCCTACCTTGTTCCCTGCTGCAGCTGAAAGCAGCGATTCACTCGCCAAAAGTCTGCAACATGAGGTGCATAGTTGGTGTTCCTGAGCTCCGACAGTACGGCCGGGACTGATAAATACATTGCATTTAACGTGAAGCTTCTCAAACAAAGATGTCGCGAATCACGGCGATACCCAATTCCAAGTCACTGTCATCATCACTTGCCGATGTTTACCGCGACGACGACGAGGACGACAATGTTCGCCACCAAGACATGTCTACTCCTTCAGAGACACAGTTGGACTGACTGTACGTGCGCTCCTAGCAGACGAAACACCAGTGTGACATCATCATTGTTTGTGGAAGCGGCATCGGCTGTGCAGCGGCCCCGACGTGGCCGCGAAGTAGCGCTGCCAGCACTACAATTTGGCAGGCTTTCCACTCATATTGAACACCGTTCGATAGCGAATGTATAAATCAATATTACAGGTTCTCATTCGTCACCCAGATGTATTTTAGGTCGTGAATCGGTACTAGGGGGTCAATACCTACTCATTGACACAAAAATTTTGACATGAGTAAATTTGACGTCAGTGCTCCTTTAAACAGATTTACACGAAAAAGGCGGAAAACGGCTTTGCATCACTCAAATAAATGCATCAAACGCCCGCTACGAAGGTGGCAGCGCCATCTCGTTTGAGTAAAAATTAGAGGGATAGCCATGTGGTGAACTGGTGGGTCACAACGCACCTGGGGGATATACCCAATGGCCCACTGATGGGTCACTCTGTACCGAAACTCAGACCAAAAAAGAGCATGCCACAGTGAACGAGTTAAATGTTGCCGCTGTCCTGTGCAAGTCTTGTTTTTGTGTTGATGCCTCGTGAACTGTGGTTCAAAGTAAATTTTTGAATTGAGAGAATTGATTCATACGGTGTGTGTTGCTGGTAATCTGAAGTTTCTTGGTATACATTGTGAAAGCTGAAGTTTTCAATCACGCATGCATATTAGTATACTCCTGTTACGCCCCTAATGTGCTACAGAAGTTTATTAGTAATATGGAGGATTTTGTCAAATTGTAGAATGACTTGATAAGGTGCACCAATATCTGGTTCTGAAATATATCTAGCTTGTAAATTATTTTCTTGATGCATCACAAATCAAATATTTCACTTTTATGTTCTGTTGCACACTTGAGGTGTGTGTGTGCACAAATGTGAAGGCTCATTGTTAACCAGTCTTGCATTATTACCAGGTGTGTGATGACTACAGTTGATCAAGACACTGGTATCAAGACTGCAAAGGAACCTCTTGTGACATTGCGCAAGTAAGTGCAAAAAGTGATGCATTTTATATGACTGTACCTATAGTTAACAATGTTGTTGCTGTGCAGGTACAGAGTTGACATGTCTAGGCGAGGGATTGAAAGGTACGAGTATCTTCCATTGCTCGGTATTGGCTCAATTCATGTTAAAGATGGCAGAATTGCACCTGGAGATGAGATCTGTGCTGTCGTATCTCCAAAGCCACTTCTCTAAGACGAGGTGGCTGCATGATACCTGGCACCCAGCAAACTTCACTGTTTTGGCAACTCACTTGTATTTGAGCTTTCTGGCATTAATTTAATTCAGTTCTTGCTGTTTTGTTTGTGCAAGCATTTTGTGCTCAATTGGGCTATGGTGGCAGTTCATTAGGTTTCCTGTATAAATAGGCATCTTTGTATAAGCTGTTCAATATTAGTGTCTTGACATTAGCACTTCAGTATTTGTTCCTGATTTTTTTATATGTAGCCTTGCTAAAAAAATATATATATATGGAAAAATATATGGAAATATATATATGAAAAAAATATATGGAAATATAAATATATATATATATATATATATATATATATATATATATATATATATATATATGGAAATATATGGAAAAATATGTGCATTTTGGTACCATGTAAGTGTTCACCTAGTTATCAGGAAATTGCTAAAGCGGTGGGAGCAGAGTCCTTTGCACGTTTTTCTATGAAACTACACTGCACTGCAGCAGGGCATAGAACATTTGTCATTCATTTTAGAATTCATGCATATTTAAGCTATGATTTCACAGTCTATGAATGCCATTATCAGAAATATTTGTTGGATATATATGTGAGACATAACATTTCACTGATTTTTCATAAGTTTATGTCACTTTATTTTTGCATGCTTTCGTGCAACAGTATTTAAGCACTTTCAAAGTAACAGTTCACTTACATGATACCCAGAATTAACACACAAGTAAAAAATCAGTGCTGGTATGCACTACCTATCCAAGCAATGGATGTGCATTTATATACAATGAGCCCAATGCGACATAGGAGGGCGCAATGCTCGGGAATTTGCACAAAGACATTATATAGGCAGCGAGTCAGGTTGCAGGGTCTGATTTGTTCTCGCAGCAGTGGTGGTCACTTCATGCACTCATGGAGGGGCTCGGCTCTAGTCGAAGATGTAGTAGCAGACTGCGCTCACCTTGAGCAAGGTAATAGCTATAGAGGTTGCCTTGGTCACCGCCCCTTCTGCTTCCTTTGTCTTGCTGCCCAAGGTGCAATCACTTCCTGATACCGTTTCGTTCTGCTTTCCTGGCCCTGGTACTTTATCATCATGCCAGCTGCCATCTGCATTATTGAAAGTAAAGTGTTAAGAGTGCCCATCTTTAGCGCACTTATAACCAGACCATGCATAGTGAAGCACTCTAGTTCGCTAGAGCTCTCTTTCAATTATAAATCTCCGTTGTCATTTGTTTTGCAAGTTTAAAGTGCTGCAGGGCAGCTTGCGAATTTGGGAGCCTTAGCTTCATAACAATTGTCTGTACAGCTGTTCCGTTTCTTTGTGAAGAATCTTTCTGATATGGGATCGGGTAAGTTGCCCAAAAAAGACAGTGAGTGTTTGACTGTAAACTTTTTATTGGGCTCATACAATAATACCCTGCAGTTAGGGTACTGTTTTGTCCAGGGGTTTTATATGCTAGAGCAGCTCCAAAAATATGAACTAAAGAAATATCACGATAGGATGTACAGAGTATGCGCAACCTTTACCCTAAAACAGGAACTGTATAGTAGCTTGTAAATGGTAGCTTATGTGTACATATATGTGTCAGCTAACCGTTTATGGTTCTCGAGTTCTTTTGTACTCTCGAGTTCTTGTGTATGAGTTCGACTGTTGTCATCACTTTATTCAGCTTTGGGTGTGTTTCTGTAGTCACTGCTGGGAGTCTGCAGCGACGATGGCAACTGCTGCCATATTCGTATTGCTTCTCTTGCCTTGGTGCCCCGTGACGCGATCACTCGCTGCTGCCGCTTTCGTTCTGCTTTGCTGGCCCTGGTGCTTGGTCATGTCGCTAGCTGCCATCTGCATTATTCAAGGAAGAGTGTTGGAAGGGCTCATCTCCGGTGCATTTATAACCATCTCATGCATAAGGAAGCACTCTAGTTTGTCAGAGATTTTCCTCAAATATAAATATCCACTGTCATTTGTTATGTAAGTTTAAAATGCTGCAGGGCGACTTGCAAATTTCTGAGCCTTAGCTTTGTAACAATCGTCTGAACAGCTGTTTGGTTTCTTTGTGCAAAATCTTTCTGGTCTGAGACTCTGTATGTTGGCTGAAAAAAAAAAAAACACCAAGTGTTGTTCTACTCTCAACTTTTTACTGGGCTCAACCAATGGTACTCTGCAATTAGGCTACTGTTTTGTCCGGGGTTTTATATGTTACACCTGCTCCAAAAATGTGAACTTTTTTTTAAAAGATATCACAAAAGCATGTGCAAAGTATGTGCAACCTTTACCTTGAAATAGCAACTGTCTAATAGCTTGCACATGGTTGCTTATGTGTACTGATATGTATCAGCCAACCGTTTATGGTTCTCGAGTCTATGATAGCTATACATTATCAACTGTTTAAAATATATAGTGAACCAGCCTGCATTTTGGGAGATAACGATGACCAGGCTAGTTGGTATGGGTTCCCATTTTTTCTAAGGTACAAACACACACAGCAGAAATGAAAAAAGAACCAACTGCACTTGTTTGTCTCTGTCATGTGTGTTTGCACTTCAGAAACCACGAATAAACCTAGTTATGTGTGTAAATATTGTACTTGAGTGTTTTTGAAAATGCTTATATATAAGTACATAGAGAACTTGGAAATATACAAGAGTGCATACACCATACTGTTATGGAGCATCATGTTATACAGTAGGCTTCTGTTAATTTGACCCTGAAGGAACTAGTAAAATAAACTTAAAATTGTCCAGCAGGTTTCAATAAAAAAGCAGAAGAATGAATAAATCTGTTCTATCTCACTTGCCAGCACTTGCCTCATTTAGTAACATGTATCTCAATTGAAAATCAACACAAAAATTACATTGGAGTAGCTGAACTTTATGGATATGATATGCACATCAGATCTTCAGCAAGAAAAACATAACATTTGCCAGAATAAGGCTTTATTTACTTGCTGTTCATCCTAGTGACTCATAGGAACGTATTTATCACTTTGATGAACAGGAAAACAAATCTGTTGTCATCAGTGTGGTTGCATTTGTTGCCTTGCATTTATCGACAAGTTTCTGCTCTGATGGTGGCCGATGCCAAAACAAGTCATGTTAACATTCCATTCTCTAATGTTGAATGTCAAAGATGCCCAAGTCAGCCTATTTCTGCTAGCTGTACTGGCAAAATAACATCGTTTGAAAGTTCACTCACAATCAGACTGAAAGCGGTGTGTGGTCAATATACTGTAAAAACATGCAACTAATGGTTGTCTTCTTGCAATGGCAATGATACTGGCCAGGCTGGCTTTGAATGGGTACGGAGCTCTCCACACACAAAATGAACAGGTGGACAGGGCTCAGACTGCGTGCTTTCTGCTGAGCACTAGTGCACATTGAAACAAGACTCTGCAACCATTAAAGAGCGGTGCCACTCTTGCTGTGCTACAGTAAAGCCAGAAAGGCCCGCTCCAGTGCTGCAGCAGATGACGCGACACACCTGCCATGTGCCCCTGTGTGCCTGCACCACTTCACTTTGATGCGTGCTAGTTCCGGATGTACTGCCACAGTAGAGCAAAACCACTCCAGGCCATGCTGCCAGCACATTCGTCCTTGGTTTTGCATCAAACGGTGTTGTCTGAAAAAAATTTAGACAAGTTTTCTAAAAAAAAAGGCATTAGAATTTGTGAACGATGTAGTAGCTTGTAGTAAGCTACTATTTCACACTGTTTCGTTGGAGCCCAAGAAGATTTTAACAGCAGGCTTGCAATGTGAGCCAAACGGTTTTAGTGCACCCTAAACACTGTAAATTAGTAATCTGTTGCCATTGGAATCATTACTTTGGTTGCTATTGGGGTTGGGTGCAAGTAAGATGAGCTGGTGAGTGGAAGTATCTGGCAATAGCATATTCCATGATCAAAATTACCTAGCCATGGTCCCATGGAAATCTGTGAGTGCCAGCCTGGAACGTTGGTTGAGATTTAATTAACCATAATATAGAACTGGAATTGAATCAAGGGAAAATTACTGTATATTCATTTATTACTTTTTTATTGTATTTTTGTTGTACATTTATTATACCAATTTGTAATACTGTATAAGCAAAAAATTTTTGCAATTATGTTCAAAAGCTTCCAAAGTTGTTTGCTATACATATGCAATGGAAATTTTTGTTTTAACACTACAACAACATTTAGAGACACCAAACACTACAAAATCAGAACTGTGTGAAAAAAAACCTCTGAATTAATATTTTATAGTCTTTATGTGTATAGAAACTTTACTTATGTCATGTGTTCTTATTTTCAAGCAATAAACATTTTCTACAATTTAGACTGTCTAAATATTATCTGCTACATATTTCAAGTATCCCTTCGAACACTTCACTGCAGTATGGGAACTTTGGTGGTTTTCTGGGCCTCATTTTCACAAACTGCAAACATTTTAGCTCTCTTTGCATGCTAGTTTTGCTTGATGCGTTGGAATTGTACATATTCTTAATATACATAGCTTACATGTGTTAGCTTGTGGAGGGAGTCCCTGGAGGTTGAGTTTTGTAGAGAGATTCTGCACTGCATGGCTAGCCTTTCAGTGAGATCTTTCAACTCACGTTTTTCAAACAAAAGATTTTTAAAAATGTATACACAATGGCATGAATAGCCATGAAGCGCGCACTGTCCGCCATGCTACTGTGGACTTTCCTTTGGTTGTCATTCTCTCTGTGCAGCATTAAACCTTCACCAATGATATACTGCCTAATGTGACTTGTGAGCGCAGCTTCATGTTTGGGCAAGGCCAACTGTGTTTGAAGTTTTGGCTTTCCACAAGGTATCGACTACGCCGTAAATCACAATTTTTGTGTAGTAGGACACTAGCCACTGCGCCATTATTCGTCTCTGCGGATAAGTGAGGTACCCATTAGACATCTGTAAGGTACTAATGCTGCATATGGCTGCTGACGATAAAGAATTACGACTGAGCACTTTGTAGTGAGTGGGAAGCAATGAACTACACACTTGTGCAATCAGCCTTGTGTGACGACTTGTTATTTTACTCTTCTACCCCCTTGTGGTACTTAGGTTAGCGTGATAACTTGCCTGACATGCCAGTGTAGCGTCTTTTTGCCAATGACATTCAAGCATTGGCATAGCTCTGTGATAGAATACTCAACTGCCATTTAGAGGGCCATAGTCAAATCCCATTTGATCCTGGGTACTTTTTTCTCATTTTATTTTTTAATGTCTGTCCTTTGTGCGGCCGACAGTGATTCCACTCAATGCAAGAATGGGTGCCTATGAGCCACGCTCTAGAATTCATCAA